TTTTTTTTAAAATGCATGTCGTTTTATACAGATGATAACATTAATAATGGATATTGAAACATTTTGCCAGTATTCATAAAAATATGAATCGGTCTTTAAATCACTAAATTTTAATATGGTACATTTCAATCATGTCATATGATACTATATTTATTTCATCGCCCGGGTGTTAAAAATCGTGATCATCCAACTGGACTATCGTGCGCTGGCGCTTCAGTCACTCCAGAATGCGTCGAAGACAGACGGGACGCGCACTCACCGCCAGTGTTTACGTAAAACGCTCATCGAAATTGAATCCTAAGTACTTTAATTTCAAGATCAACCTCGCGGTCGTCCGAAGACTTTGGTGACAATAGGCTATTGTGGAAGCTGATGACATACAATCTACGGCTGATTTAGCAACAGCTTTCGACGTTAGCATCAAAACAATATTGGTCCATTTACGTCAAATTGGCAAGGTAAAAAAACTTGACAAGTGGGTGTCCCACAAACTCAATGATCGCCAGAGCTAAGTATGCATCGAGCAGTGCCTTGCACTGCTCAACATAGTTGTAGTAGTAGTTAGTTCAGCACCTAAACAATACCCGAAACGAAAACTTACTCCTAGAAAAGTGATGGTCACTGATGGTCTAGCGCCAGTCTGATTCATCACAGGTTCTTACCAAACGGAGTGAGCATTACTGCGGATGTGTAATGTGAAGAACTGAACACAATGATGGAGAAGCTGACACATCTCCAACCAGCACTGGTCAATCGCTCATCTCCATTGCTCCTGCATTACAACGCGCGACCTAAAGCTGCACAACAGATGGTCTCCAAGTTACAAGAACTGGGGTTGGAAGCTCTCCAATATCCACCCTACTCACCAGACTACTTCTTTTCCAGAATTTGAATAACTTCTTCGCGGGAAAAAAATTCATTACCCGAGAGGCAGTACAAAATGCATTTAAAGAATTTGTTGCCACCCGTCCAGCTGATTTGTTTAAGAAGTATTTTGTGGCAGTTTATTGATGCCCAATAAACTGCCACTGCGTTGGCAACGATGCATTGATTACATGGGTGATTACTTCGATAAATACAAATAAAAAATACATGAAAAAAATCGTTTAAATTTTTTCATACAAAACGGCAATTTCAGTAAATAACCCATTAATTTATCTGATTTTGCTGAATAAATAATAATATAATCGTTGTTCCTATGGAGACTGTTATTATTAATCTAAATAAATACTTTGATATTGTGTTGTGTTTATTTATCCGATGTAAGCACCTGAGATTTTCGGTTGTTTCGATATATCCAGGTTGTTTTATCAGCCATTAATCGTCTTAGATGTAAATAAACATAAACATTTAACGATACAATTTCAATGTTATATGTCACATAAGTAAATTAGCCTGTTACTCATTTTAGTCTAAATTGGTAGATGAGATAAATAGCTTGTTTCTATTTATTTTGGGTTTCGTTACTTCATACTTTTTGGCTTACTCTGTAAATAGAGTGCATCGTCGCTTAATTTTTTTCCCTTGTAGCCAATTGTAGTTATGAAGTCACTTAAATCATTTTTCCTGACTCTAAAAAAGGGCAGATTGTATTAAGCGACATTTATCTTTGTAATTAAAGGCCCGCTTTATTTGGAATTAGCATCAGCAACTAGATATTTTTATTTAAATTTCAATGCAATTTACCCCGTTCAAATAACTGCAGAAGCGTTTTTGTTATGAATTTTTTTTCGAAATTTCAAACTTTAAAAGGTTCTCCTGTAAAGTTGCAAAAATGTCGCTTAAACCAAATAGCCCGTTACCCCTCGAATATATATTCGACGGAGAAAAATTCGCTGCTTCCGAATATATATATAACTCAATATCGCCCAAAATGTCGCTTAAACCAAATAGTCCGTTACCCCTCGATATATACATATATATAAAGCAGAAGAGTTAGTTTTTTTGTTTGTTTGTTTGAACGCGCTAATCTCCGTAACTAAAAGTGTGATTTGAATAATTCTTTTTGTGTTGGATAGTGCATTTATTGAGAATGGCTATAGGCTATAAAACATTACGTTACGACCAATAGGAGCTAGAAATGAATAAAATTCTAAAAACAAATGAAGCAAATTTTTGGAATAATATAAATTTCTATTGCCAAATGCAGTTCAAATCTAGTTCTAATTTGCAAATATAATCTAGGTTAAAGGAAAAATAACATTACTTAATAGGATTAAAAACCCAAGCAGGTTTTCTAACTCATAGCAACCAGAAACACGCCATTAAGACCGGTTTTTAAACATAATATAGTCTATAAATAATTTATAAATCTATTTTTAGACAATTTATAACATGTTTAACTTTGTTATTGAACTACTTAAATATTTTTTTATAAATATTACCTATATCAGAAACTCAATATTTTGTATGTAGATTTTTTAAATTGACGATCACTTTTGTTTACATTTATATCGGCTTACGATTTTTTATTATAACTTTATTATCTATCAATTAGACTGGCTTGGTCGAGTGTACGCTAGTGCGACTGCGGGGGTAAGGAGTCTCTTTCGATTTCCAAGTCGGGCATAGTGGTTTTCGAAAATCTCAGTAGTGCCACGGAGTTTGGAAATGTGCCCGGTATATAGCAATAGGCTCACCCCCTATTACATGTGACTCATAACATAAATAGTGAAAGTGGGTGTAACATTGTACAGTGGCATTAAGTGCCGTAAATGTCCACCTCTGCCTACCCGTTCGGGTATAAAGGCGTGATGTTATTTCATGTTATTATTATTAAAAAAACGTTAAATTCTATAAACTTAAAGCCGCAAAAATAGCTAAATTGATTCATTAATACAATAGAATTGCATTAACCTCAAACTTCATCGCTATTGTGACATAAAATGAAATGTATTTCCTTCCTCCTAAGGCACTGTTTTCTTTAATAGACACAAATGCTTGCATGTACATGTCAATGTCACTTCAAACAGCATGTCCAAAGACAGCATTTCACCATTCCAATAGGTTTTCTACCTTATTTTAAAACCATAAAATTTTAAATCAAATATCTATATATAGCTGTACTATTTAACGTAATCGTAGACTTAATAATAAGTAATTGAACCATAGGAATTATAACAAATTGCCTCTTAAACTGTTAAACACCAAGCGGTCACCGGTGACCGCAACCTATTGTTCTATATTTGTGTCTATAATGACGATACACAACGAGTAAAAGGGAAATTTCCATAACATAGAGGTAATTTGAACTAGAGCCTACCTTAGTGTTTTTTGGCGCCTGAATAACCGTAAAATGAATGAATGAATGATTGAACCGGTCAAATTTTGAACGCTACCGAACACTTTTTTTAAGTGGGGAATATCATCGAGTGGCTTCTCCCGCCTGGGTGAAGCGGGACCGCGGGAGGGAGTGTCAGACTCTTACTGACTAAAAACCACCCCGTTCCAACTCCTGCACTTCGAGCCGGAGCCCCGGTAACCCGTTAGGTTCTCCGCGACTCCGAATCGGCATCAGCCCTATTGGGCCTAAACGAACACGTTAAACTCTGATCTACTAGAACGTGCAACCTCAAAGAATCCCATATATTTTTAACCGACATAAAGAAAAGAAGGAAGTTCCAAGTTTAAAAGTCCTTGGTTACAAATATTAGAGCTACCTATCCCTATAAATGGAACATATGTATTTAAAATCCATGAGGATTTCAAAATCGAAATTTCAATAGTCCTTAGCTTGACCGGTGAATCGTAATAAGGATCTCTTGTACCTCTTAAAGCGGAATCGCAAAAGGAGGACAGATATATTTTTAAAATTTTATCATCTTTCTTGGAATTATAAAGAATTTAGACTGTCGTAGAAATTCATCTGAACGAGCATTGTGCATTTTCTTGGATAGAAAGTAGTCTATGTATTTTATTCATATTGTTCAACGTTTTAGCTATATGCGTTGAGCCATTTATGTGTTTAATAGTAAAACAGTAAATAATTACAATAAACAGTTATAGACAGTCTCGTGTGTCGTGGTGACCCAGAGGTTTAAGGGTGCGCATTCGAAACTTACCAACGGTAAGTAACAATGTAATTTTTTTCCGAGTTATATGTACTTTCTAAGATTATTTAGACACCACTGACAAACGATGAATGAAAACACCGTGAGGAAACCAACCCGCATTGAGCAAGCGTGGTCATTAATGCTCAAGCCTTCTCCGTGTGAGAAGAGGCTTTATTAAGCAGTGGGCATTTGTAGGCTGATCATCAACAGATGATGATTAAACTACGGCTATTATTATTTGTGTTTTGGAATAAGCTGGTAAACGAGCAGACGGATCACCTGATAGTAAGCACTCGGCGCCACCCATGGGCAGCCAAAACACTAGAGGTGTTACAAATGTGTTGCCGGGGCTTGGGGTTTGGGGAGGGCCGGGAGGGGGTAATTGGGCCTCCGGTAATCTTATTCACACGACAAAATACAACGCAAGTAGTTACAGTTGTTTCACGTCGGTTTTCTGTGAGACCGTGGACTTCGGTCGAGCCGGCCCATTCGTGCCGAAGCATGGCTCTCCCGCAGTTGAATTATGACTATAATTACGAATCAACATCTTTGCAAATACATCTCCCATAGGCATCTACAAACAACATTTTTTCAAATATTTATCCAGTTTATTTACACATACAAATATGTATTTGACGCCGTGGACTTCGGTCGAGTCGAGTGGAGCATGGCTCTCTCACACTTAAACAATTAGTATTAGTAGTTAATTAGGTAATTCTTAATTAAAAGGTACTCACGTATTTGTCCTTGAGGTAAATGTGGCTGCTTCTCATACCATTCGCGAATACTAGCTACCATTTCATTTAACGTTTTTTGATTAATATTATATGATTTCAACAAATTTTCCAAGTCCAAGTCTCTGATGTTCATCAGTTTTTGTGCATTCAAAGAATAGTCGAAGTTTTCGTACTGTGAAATAATAATATAATAATATAAATATTATTTCGTAATTATAACTGGCGTAATAGTTATGTTGTTTAATAGTAATAACAATACAACGTATACTTCCTGGTAGCACACTTTAAAAATGTTATTGAAGTATCGTTTAAATAATTGCAATGACAATTTTTTATACACACAACTTCAAAAATAATAAAACCATAGTTTTATGCGTGCATTGTTTTCTTTGCTATAATAATGTTTAATAGGTATTAATTATTATGTGCGATTATGACATTAAAATTTTTTTTGACTGTATTTAAACTGTCAAACACCAAGCGGTCACCGGTGACCGCAACCTATTGTTCTATAATTGTGTCTACAAAACCGGTATTCGACGAGTTAAATATTTTGAACTGCACGATATTAAGTAGGTACATCTTTATAAATAAACAAAATATAAAAAAAAATATAATAAAAATACGCTAGTTTATTCCTTTCCATGTAATTCAAATTAAAAACAAATGTATATCTACGATTATATAATAGTATAATTTAGACACATACCACATTCTCGTCTCCGATAGTCATTTTGCACTGGTATAATAATAATAATAGTTAAAAAAATCACAAACGCACACTGACACTTTGTTCTCGCAACACAATCCGACAATGTCTGTACATTAAAGGCCTCGACCGTTTTATTATACTGACCGCCCTGCGAAGAAACCGAGAACTTTTTGCCACAAATCTATTTTTATACACACAAAATTTGACTTTTCTATAAGTATAATTTAATTAGCCTTACTATTTTCCAATTTATATTTGTATAATTTATTTTTAATAGTATAAATTCGATTATTAATTTGGATTAATAATGTATAGTTATTATTTCAAAATAGTTATGTGCCTAATTAATAAATAAATTCTAATTTTAAATGAGGCAAAACTACTATAATTTCCAAATAGATATTTCTGGAGTAAGTAATTCACACAATTTTAGTTTCTAAACTTATAGCTTGATTAATAATAATACATTATTATTAAAATAGACTAAGGATTATTTTTTAGATAAAATAATTTATAAATATTATTACACAATTACAAGATCAAAAGACCAAGTTGAAATATTTTTAATTTAGTTAACTTATACATTTTTTTAGAATACCTATATATTTTTAGAGTGCCTTATTGATCGAGAGATCGACTTAGACTACATTGGTATTGATTCTCAAGGTATTTAAGTGATAGATTAATTATAAAATTATACTATTTCTTCTGACAGCCTCGTTGGCCGAGTGGTCGCAAGTGTGCCGCCGCCAAGGGGTTTCGGGTTCGATTACCGGGTCGGGCAAAGTATATTACTGGGTTTTTTAAAAATTATCAGTAGTAGCACGGAGTCTCGAATCGTGCCCGGTATATGGCAATAGGCTCATTCCCTATTACATGGGACTCATGACATAAAAAGGGAAAAATGGGTGTTACATTGTACAGTAGCATATTATGTGCACCTCTGCCTACCACTTCGAGGATAAAAGGCATGATGTTATGTTATATTACTGTTTCTTTACACAATACACTAATTTTAATTTTTTTATGTCATAAGCCGGTAAAGGAGCAGACGGATCACCTGATGGTAAGCAATCGGCGTCGCCCATGGACACCTGGAACACCAAAGGCGTTACAAGTGCGTTACCAGCCTTTTGGGTTCTTTCTAGAAAATTAATTGAATGTTTAAGTTAATAGTGCCAAATTTCTGAAAGTTTTATGTCAACTGCACGTTTGACACAGTGACTGATTAACCGACTGCCGCGCAATATGTAGCAGGTTCGATTCCCGCACGGAGCAACTCTTTGTGATCCATAAATTATTGTTTCGGATCTGGGTCACATGTGTATGTTCGTAAACGCATACACGACACAGGAAAAAAATCCTAGTGTGAGGCAACCTTCTATAAAAAAATACCTACTATTGAATTTTATGTTGGTAACATTTCATTTACATTCCCATTCTCATCTCTAGATAGTACAATAGCACAGTTTTTGTGCGTAAAGTTGTATATGGATACAAATTTCCGACCACCGCACCGTGGGATAAAAACGGCGTAATTCTACGCCATTTTTATTATTGTATTTAATATAAAAAATATAATCTTCTAACATGGGAATTGTAATAATTAAATTATGATTATATTCCATGTGAAATAGTAATTGTATATTTGATTCATACTTATTTATTTTAGCACAAAAACTAAATTATTCTGGGATTTTCGTGTACTTATAGTTATGAATAAAGTTAACGTTAATCTGTATCTTAAGGTTTAGGTAATTTTTTTAATGTGTAGGTACCTAATCAAATAATAAGTTTAAGTAAAATTTGCCATCTAATACGTGATATCACAAACTGTATTATATTTATTTATTATTAACACACGTATAATAATGACATAAAGAAGACCATAATATATAAAATGTAAGTATAAATAAGCCATAATAGTTTTATTTTATAGAATCTGAACTTTATTACTATAAAAATTGAAACCTTATGAATATTAAATAGGAAATTGAGGAAAGGGGGATAATTGCGCCTCCGGTAGCCTCACTCACACGACGAAACACAACGCTTAAGCGTTGTTTTACATTGGCTTTCTGTGAAGCCATGGTATTGCTCCGGTCGAGCCGGCCCATTCGTGCCGAAGTATTTTTTAGTGCCAGACTCTTACTGACTAAAAACCACCCCGTTCCTACTCCTGCACTACAAGCCAGAGCCCCCGTAACCCGTTAAGTTCTCCTCCGTATCGCCATCAGCCCTATTGGGCCCCATCCGTAGTGGTCTGATGGCTATCGTGCCGAAGTATGGCTCTTCCATACTTGAATTATGACTATTATGTTATATTACAACGTAAATTACATGTCTATAATTACGTATTAACTTCTTTGCAAAATCATCTCCTAAAGGCAACTACAAACAACATTTTTTCAAATATTTATATAATCCATTTACGCATACAAATATGTACTTAGAAGATAATTAATGAATTAGTAGATTTTATGATTTATAAAGATAGGGATAAGGTTCTAATTTGCATGTCCAGTTGATGATGTCGTAAGTTGTAATTTGCGTGTTTTTGAACTGTCTTTTGTTCTTTGATCAATAGATTGTCTATCAATAAGAAAGATGACTGATATAAGCTAATAGCAACGGTTTTTATTATTTTATCCACTGAAGTATGGTAACACATACCATCACGGTTTCAAATCGTTGAACAGAGTAGCCATAGGCTCAAACATGCAAGTACAATGTACCACTTGCTTTCTATGAGTTAAATTATAAGGGATGTTATTACTGTGTTTTCCAACAAGCTCCTTTAGTATTTGAGCTGACTCCCGAGCGTACGAAGCGTCGCTCAAAGAGCCATCAGACCACCACAGATGGAGCCCAATAGGGCTGATACCGATACGGAGCCACGGAGGACTTAACGGACTGCTCCGGCTCGAAGTGCAGGACTATGGACGGGATGGTTTTCCGTCAATAAGAGTCTGACACTCCCTATCGCCTCATCCGGGCGGCAGAAGCTATTGGATCATTTTCGTCCGTCAAAAAAAAGGCTGGGAGCCCTGCGGGTTTCCTTGCTCGATAATGGCACCAATTAGTCAACAAGGCAGTCAATTGTTGACTACATTGTTTAGTTAAAATAATTATAGTAAAGGTACATAAACTTAACTAAGCCGATTTTTGCAACGCCAGATAAATTGTAACTGAGGACTAACTTTGAATATTTACCAATTGTTCCATACTAAAAACTATCCTATGTCAATTTTTTCCTACAATTAAGAATTAAATGATGATTGAAAAATCGGCTCTATATACCGAAACCGAATCCACATTATCTCTTAAAAACCTAACCTTATTGGACTGCCTTATTGGCTAAGAGGTCGCAAGTGCAACTGCCGGGCAAGAGGCTCGGGTTGCCGGGTCGGGCAAAGTATTACTTTTTTTTTTAAGTCTCACTAGTAGCACAGAGTCTGGAAATGTGCCCGGTATATGGCTATAGGCTCACCCCCTATTACACGGGACTTATAACGTAAATAGTGAAAAGTGGTTGTTACATTGTCCAGTGGCATTAAGTGCCGTAATGTGCACCTCTGGCTACTTCTTCGTGTATAAAAGGCGTGAAGAAGAAGTTAAGCTATATACCTTCATTAAAGAATGCAAGAAAATCTAGAACATGCATAAAGAACAAAGACTTACACAATTGCATTGTATATCCTTAATGTCACACAGCATCTTGCTATTGTTGGCCGTAACTTTGTGAAAAATCTAGCAATAATTAACTTTACTTATATAGCAATAAGAATGATATTACTTGAAGGAAAATTCTGGATTATAGTGAGTAATTCGAAAGGAAATCTTGTTTTTCTTTGAGGTTTGAGGATATTAATACTAAGTTGAGTTTTGTAACTGGTGTCATAGCAATAAGTTAATCTTTTATTGAATATGAACGGGTGCAATATGCATATATTACACATATAAACCTTCCTTACGAATCACTATCTATTAGAAGAACCGCATCAAAATCTGTTAGACAGTTTTAAAGATCTAAACATACATAGGGACAGACGGTGGATGGCGACTTTGTTTTATACTAAGTAGTGAAGTAGCTTCACATTGAATAACTAACTTTACACGTGGTCGTGCGAAATAGAGGAGCCTCTATCACTTAATATCCACCCTCAATTGGGTATTTACCTGGGTCAAAAATGTATTATTTTGATTTTTCAATGCAATTAAGTATTCAAAAATAATTACAATTTCATTCATATATATTTGGACAATATATTTAATTTTCGATTTATTCTAGCAATTTTCCTAATTTCTAAAGGTTAAAATATGTAAGTAGCTAAAATGTGTGTGTAGGTAACAGTAAAAAAACTGCTTTAGAATATAAGATCCTATTTAGCGCGCTCTTTTGAGGAAAAAACAACCTTAATGCTATGGAATGTATTAGTCAGGAGGTACAAGAATATAAGTATTGTACTACACATTCATATCAGATAATCCTTTTGTCGACTTCCACGGCAGTACGGAGAAAAAACTTCACTTTTTCTCATTACTTTGTCCCGAAGATCAGACCAGTAATCCAGCAACGGAGAATCCAATGTTTCCTTTCCAGAATTTTCAGATTAATGGCTCTTCTTTTTCCATTCTCGCGTTGGAAAGTGCGGAATGGAAAATCGAAACTGCCAATGGTTGGCTGGCAAACTAGTTACAAGGATTAGGTGTGAGGAATTGAGTTATAGGTGTCAGTTTTTCAAAAGAATTTTGTTTCGTACTGCGTTGGTTGGGAGATGTGACTACCGACAAAAGTAAATAAGGTAAGTTTTCTAGTCTTTTAAAATTTAAAGTAAAATACTGTAATTAAACGAAAGTGTTCGTAAATTGAGTATTTTTTTAAGGCATAAGTCGGTAAACGAGCAGACGGATCACCTGATGGTAAGCAATCAGCGTCGCCCATGGACACCTGGAAGACCAGAGGCGTTACAAATGTATTACCGGCCTTTTGGGGAATATGAGTTTGAGGATCGTTGGGGATTCAGGGATTGGGGAGATTGGGGAAGAGGTAGGTAATTGGGCCTCCAGTAACCTCAGTCACACGACGAAACATAACGCAAGCGTTGCTTTACGTCGGTTTTCT